GCCGCATCCGTTCAAGCAAGAGTGCCCGACCGCAGGATGCAGTTCTTGGGAGGTCGGCTTCATCATCGGCGCTGGCAGATCACTCATTCACTCACAAGCGCTGCGCCGCCCCGCCCAATTCGCACAATTCTGGTCAATCTGCCTGAATCTCGCTTGTTTTGTTTCATCCCCGGTTTCATCCAGCCGGGTCAGGCTCGTGTTTTTTCAAGCGTCCATCGGGCCCGCCATCCCCCCCTCTGCAACGCGCAGACGGGGGTAGGAGGAAGGGGTTCTCTAGAAGGTGGTCGTTTCTTGGACAGCGCGGGCCTCCTCTGTAGAAATGTGGCTGACGCCTTCTAAGAAAGAAGCCTTTTTCCCCTGATGTCCGAAGGGGTTGCGCAGTACTGGTGCCCGCGGGCATATACTCAGGAGGGAAAGAAACACACAGACACAATTGATCGTCGACTCCCAGGTAAATATTGTAAAATATGGGAAGTGTGGGGGGGAAGGCAAAAACCAATAAAATATGAGAAAATATGGGTACTCCTGTTATTTGTGTTTATTTATTAATGTAATCGCTTCGCTCATTCCGCCGGCCCTGGAGCGCCTCTTGGGGACCTCTTGGGAGTCTCTTGGGGCTCCTTGGCGGCGTCTTGGGGGCCCCCAGGGCCTCTTGGGGGGCTTCTGGGGGCCTCTTGGGGCGGGAGGGGTTAGTTGTGTCTATTCGTTTGTGCGTCCCCGGGCCCCTTCATGTACGCTGGGGTGGCTGCTGCGGGCCCTCCGAGGACACCTTCCTCGAGCACGCCGTCTACAACGGCATGCTGCCCCTCGCGGCGCTCGCGGAGAGGCCGACGGTGCAGCTCCGGGGCGGCACGTGGCGCTGCAAGACCCCAGGGTCGAGTAGTGGCGACGCGTCCCGGCTCGCTCACAGTCCCACCAAACAATGTTCTAAGAACGCTCTGTGGTTTCCACGAGATGTTTTTAGATCATTTCTGGCTGGGACTGTCTTGGTTTAACACATCGGGTCTATGTTCTAAGAGCATTGTTTTTGTCCTTCGAACATTTTTGGGTTGTAAGAACATTTGGTGGTAGGACTATAGGAATGCCGGGACCGTCGGCCCCTGCTCAACAGGGGCTTGACGTTTCTGCTCCGATCGACTTGCGGGAAGCAGGCCAGATAAATCGAGGTGAGTTCGGCGTCCCCCCGGCATGCAAACTCTGTGTCTGCGCCGCCACCCCAGGGGCGACGCGCGCGCGCCAACAGTTCTATAGCAAAAGCTCCGTGGCGGCCGCTTTCTGGCCACACCGTTCGGAAAGCGATGTTCTACAAGCTGGTTTTACGATATGTCCTGGTCGGACGCACGCCTTCAAGGAGGACACATAGTACTAGTATGTCCTTGTGTGTCCCATGAGTTTAGGTAGATCGGGCCACGTCAAGATAGATCCAGGTGAATCCAGTGATGTCCGTCCTAGACGGATTTGGATAAATCGTGGAAGCTCCAGTGCGAGTCGAGGGGCAGCAGAAGTCGTCAGGCCCTTCACGAACAGGAACATTGCCGCCTGCGTGCCCGCGGGGAGCCGGGCGGACCGGCCGCAGAGCCAAGGCACTCAGAGCGAAGAGGGGAGCTTTGATACTTTAGCGTATCATTCCGCCCTGGGACTTTTTGATTTACATTGAGATCACGCTGGGATTGCTAAAGAGAGCAAGGGGGTTAGATGCGGATGCTAAGGTGAGTTATATCTGACCTGACCTCGCTTCTGTGGCTCAGGGTTGGCGAACCGGGCTAGTGGGCTCCGCCCACTGAGCGGAGGTATCAAATTACCCCAAGCTGCCCAGGACCCATGTAACCCATGTAACCCACATATCAGCTGGGGTTGGCCAGACCATTTCTGACCTCCCTATCCCCTTAGCAACCCCAGTGGTGATATGACAGAAAGATGGTGCGCGGTCCAACTGTAGCTTTTTGCAATGCGGGGCGCGCTCGGCAATGGCGACGAGGACCCTCCAGGCACGCCCAGACGAGGACCAGAAGCAGCGCCGAAGCCCTGAAGGCAATGCCGACGTCGTGAGCTGTTCACGATGTGGCGCCCCAGAGGCCTGGACCCCTTTCCCGGGACCGGCCAGGAGGGAAGCATAATTGCACGCAGTCATTAATGAACGGCGATTTCCATGTAGATAGGTGAAATGCTGGAACTGAAGGGGGACAAGAACATCCAGGAAGTGTGGACATGGATTTGGAATCCTTGGAGTTTGTGCTGCTTCAGTTGCCTCTCCCTGGGCCCCTGCACAGATGTCTGGCCCTCTTCCCCGGGACCAGCTCGTCGTCCTCGAGCCGCTGCTCGACGGCCCTATGGGTCCCGCGGCGGGCGCTCGGAGAGGACGGCGCCGAGGCGAAGCCTCCCGCCGTGACCGCTCCGCGGGGACCTTTGCCCCGCGCTGCCTGCGCGCGCCGCGGAGCGACGGCCTCCCCCCCCCGCGACAGGCAGCGAGCCGGGCGCCGCCGGCGGCGGCCGCGGCCGCACGCACGAGGACGCGCGGCCCTGGCCTCGCTCGGACGTGTGCATTGCTTCCTTCGGCGAGGACCATCGAGGAGCATCCTTTTGATCCTTTGGCGAAATAAAAGCCACGCACGAAAAACCGGAAAAAAGGCACAGGAGAAATGGACGCCCGAGCGATGGCCCGCGCGGCAGGCCCGGCCGCAGGCCCGCCCGGCGTCGCAGGGCAGCAGCCGTCGCCCTGCCGCCGGCCGCGCCGCGGCCGCGAGGGCGCCAGCGGCGGGCGGCGGCGCGCCGCAGGCGGCGGCCGCGGCGCTGGTCGCGGCCGCGGGGCGCGGGGCGGAGGCACGCGTCAGACAGTGGCGAGACGTCCTGACCTGCCCGCGGGCCCACCGAAGAAGGTTTACAGTGAGCGGCTTGCATAAGGAACACTTACTTTTCAAAAGGGGCTCGGTCGTTCCTTCGGTTCACATGCGTTAGTGCGTTATTTGCTATGTATCGTTGCTTATGCGTTATTCGTTGGGATAAAAAAGGGGCCTCGTTCCTTATTTATCGTTCCTTAGGTCAGGCCGATGACTGTAAAAAGCCTGTTCTGGTGGTCTGCACGAGGTGTTCTCGGAACATTCCGTGGTTGAGGCCGTTGGGGGTCTGATACATCAGGCTTGGGCTGTACGCAAATCACGGGGGGTTCTTAGCACACTTGTCCCCGAGCAGTGCTTGCGCTCAGGGTTAAGTCGGGCCTGTCCCTCTACAGGGGGAGTATTCAAAAATAGTCAAAAAATAGTCTGGAGACATTGTTTGGGCATTTTCGGTGTATGTTCTATCCTTCGTGTGTTTTGGTGTATTTCCTATCTTTTTTTTGTGAGCATTTTTGGTATCTTCTATCCTTCGTCGAAAATCCCCCTGTAGGGGGACGCGCCCGACTTAAGCTTAGGGCTTCGCATGCGTTCTCTCAGGAACAAGCCCTGCGGGCCGCTCTTCGGAGCGTGAGTTACCTACCCCGCTTTCGCTTCCAGGCAAAACCAGGTCATACCACGCGCCTCCTCGTCAAGCGGCCTGACCAGTACAGGCCGTAGTTCGGCATCGCTTGGTATATCTTGGAAGCGAGGGTGGTCAAAAGCGAGGTAGGTTTGTTTGCCCCCTAGCTCTGGCGGGTCCGTGCTCGCCACCGCCGCCCCCGCCGCCGCCTCGTCGCCGCCCTTCGTCTGGGCGGGTGCCGGTCGGTGTGGCGGCTCCGTGCTCGCCGTCGCCGTCTCGTCCCGGCGACGCTTCGCATAGATTCTCTTGTCGAAAATATCGGAGGCGGAAAAGATGGGGGTGATGACTAGGGGGGGGTGGATATCATGGCGTGGGCCATGATATTTCCCCAGATCTCATGGCGCCTCTTCTTGTTTCATTACGTCCCTGGCCCCACCGCTGGGAATTACACATGCCGCCGGTCATGATTTGCACCCCCCCCTCTTGGACACCCCCCTCTTGGCCGCTCCCGATTCTCGATTGGAATTCATGTATGCGTTTGACCAGTCGATCCATCTTTCACCTTCAGCCCCGCATGCGCGCGCACGTGTTCATAGTCAGCTCTTTTCGTATCAATCCTTCCCTTGGAAAAAATGGGACGCAGTGTGCACGCGCGCGTCGTCGCGCGTGCATCCCGAAATCTTCCAAGCACCCTAGGTTTCGTAGGGGCGTCGAAAACATGCAAAGACACAAGTGGTTTCGCAACCAGAATTTTGAAACAAATGTCGGTCGCGCTCTTGCGAGTTCTAAAAGGAACCCGTGGGTTCTTCAGCCTGCTTACCAGATGCGACCAAACGAGCCCTTCGCGTGCGCATGTCGAAATCATTCGAACGCCCTTGCCCGCGTATAATCGCAACAATCCCTTGCAAAAAACAGGAAAACGTACACGCACGCGCACGCGTCGTCGCGCGCGCATGCCGAAATGATTCAAAAACCGGTAGTTTGCGTGAGGATTTAGAAATCAAGTGTCCTGACAACAGGTCAACAAACATAACAGCTTCGCAACGTGACTTTTCACGCAAAATGTGCGTCAGCGCTCTTGCGGTTTTAAGAGAAACCATGTTCAACCCTCTCATCACATGCGACCAAGCGTGCCCTGCGCGCGCATGTTGAAATCATTCGACGCCCTTGCGCGCGTACTAGGGGGCCCGGTCCCTGTCAAAGAATATCATGCGGGCTACTCGCGCGCTTCGACCGCGCGCATGGCGACACCTATTCCAAAACGTTCTTCACCAACGCAAGGACACCATCATCGTCATCGGCATGATCAGCATCGGCGCTCTCAGTGCCCTTGCCGTCGTCATTTTCGTCGTCACCAGCTTCGCTACTGTCATCATCGCGTGTGCCGTTGTCGACGTCGCCGTGATACCGCGCCCACCCGAATTACCGCCTTGAAGTGATTGCCCGCGCGTCAGCGCGGCCTGCGAAAGGCCCTGGGGAGTTCCCAGCGGTCACCGCCACCGCGGCCGCGCCGGTCGCGCCAGACTCGTTGGCTGCTCTGCGCGCGAGCCTGCGCGCGCTAGCGCGGCCGCAGCGATGTGCCAGCCAGCGCCAAGCAGCCATCGCAGTCGCCGCCGGAAGGGTTTTGCAAACCAAGTTGCGGGTGGGTGGGTGGGATGATTGCACGAGCATGTGAGGTGGTCGCGCGCGGCGCAGGGAGGTCGATCGTACCACATAGGTTGCACCGCATAGCTTGTACCACATTTTTCACCACGTAGATCGCACCACATAGGTTGTTTCACCTGGATTGCCCAAAGTAGAGCGCACCATATCCATTGGATCATAGACCGCACGGCGCATATGTCACTACATCGGTAACACGAGATAGATCGCACCACATAGGTTGCACCACGTATGTTGCGCCGGTAATACTGCACCACCTGGATATATTGCACCATATGTATTCCCCCACATCGAATGCACAACATAGATTGCTAGACACACTCCTGCAACGCTCTTGGGCAGTATTAGGGGCGTTCTTGGCCGTCTTGAGGCCCTGTCGGTTCGCTGGCTAACATGTTGTTCTGATGGCCTTTCGTGGGAGGCCTCCAGGAATGCTGTGACGGTCGTCCCCTTCTCGAGCTCGGGGGGAAAAGGGGCACCGATACCGTCATCGCTCCCTCGGTTGGGTTTTTTAGGGGGGCCGTCGACGAAACTGAGCTAAGCTCGACATCTTGGTCAATGCGCGCCCCCATGGAGAGGTCTTGGGGTGGCAAGCGTGGGCGGAAGGCATGTCCGTGTCCGCGGCCTCGCGGGCCGACCCCTGGGCCGCGGGGCGTCTTTTCGCGGATGCCCCGCACGGCGCGTACGGAGCGTACCCGTGCGGTCGCGTCACCGCGGGATCACGCCCCGGAATCCAGACCGCGAATGCGCCGATACGGACATGCTCGCCGCTCGTGCACTTCGATGTTCGAGTCATGGTTCGGCTCTCCGGCGGCCGCTCGGGACGATCCGGACATCCCCCAGAACGCCCGCGGCGAGGCGCAGCCGCAGGAATGCATCGAGAGGCTGGACAGCCCCATGTTCGAAGTCTGGTAGGCAGGGGGAGGAGGAGGAGGAGGAGGAGGAGGAGGAGGAGGAGGAGGAGGAGGAGGAGGAGGAGGAAGAGGAGGAGGAGGAGGAGAGGAGGAGGAGGAGGAGGAGGAGGAGGAGGGAGAGGAGGAGGAGGAGGAGGAGGAGAGGAGGGGGGAGGAGGAGGAGGAGGAGGAGGAGGAGGAGGAGGAGGAGGAGGAGGAGGAGGAGGAGGAGGAGGAGGAGGAGGAGGGGGAGGGGAAGGAGGGGGAGGAGGAGGAGGAGGAGGAGGAGGAGGAGGAGGAGGAGGAGGAGGAGGAGGAGGAGGGCTCCGTGGTCTCCGTGGCCTCCGTGCTCGCAGGCGCGGCGGGCGAGCGCGGCCTGAGCGCGCGGCGCCGGCCCAGCGCCACGCCCGAGCGCGGTGCACCTGAGCTTACCAGCCTCGAACGTATCCCTATCCCTAAGATTGACACGCCAAAAGGCGAGGACAATCTCAGGGATTCGCCCTCAAAAGATGAGGGGATCCCTAAGATTGGCAACGTAATGAGGAGGTGCCCAGCATAGGAATAAGGCTATGTTCCGGCTGGTAATGAGCACCACGGCCGCGCCGGGCGGCGCCTTCCTGCGGCCCCCGCGGCCGCGCGCCACTGCGGC